TTTTTTTTTTTACAATTAATCACCTCGCTCTTCCCCAAAAGCTCTTACCGGTATCAACGTTGTTTTTGTCCGTAGCCCAAGCTGTGACAGAAAATTCGCTGACTAGTGGAGCTTAGCTGGATTTCTAGTGTCACTCGATGCCCTTCTGGGGCCGCAGAGGGATGGCTTGCATCTTCAGGGAAAATATACACTGAACGGCAATAATGTATTCTGCAGCCTCCTCGCCACAACCTCACGCAGCGTCCATTGGTTAGCGTTTGTAGATGCAGAAGACTTGTTGCTAAGGTTGACTCTGATTGTAATTGCAAATATAATATGACTGGTCAGTCAACTAACAGCACCTAACTGTAAAAGATGAGCTCGTATTTGATAGACTGATGTACTTTTAAACATTTAAATGCTTAGGCAATAATAAATGAATGAAGAACGAGTTTCATCGCCAGGTACTAATTTCGCACACAGGCTACTTGTGAGGTCATACATGTACGTAGTCACTGTACCGTCACCCAGCCCTCTCGCAATCAACAACGTGCCTCGTAATCACTCTAGCATCATAATCATAATCTGCTACTGTACAGACATGGTTTTGCTAACTTATCCAGGCCTGAAACAGGCGAAACAGCCTGCCTGGTTCACCGTTTCAAGATCATTACAAGCAGTGCTCCTCACAATGCCACGATATCTCACGCGAGACAAGCCTGTATATTATGGTTCAGAAGCACTTCGAGGTCTATTGGCACCGAGTTATTAATAACGGACACCTTTGCTCCTATATTTCGCTGATTGTTGCTAAGCGCTGGGCGTTTGACGTTTTCATAAAAATGTACTTCCACTTTGTCGTGTCATACGATTCGCCTTCCATGACGAATTGGCGACGAAAGCCGTTGCGCTAGCGGCGTTTGTGGATATTGAAACAAAAGGTTTGCTCACTGATGAGTTTGCGAATGTTAACCTCAACGCGCCTTTTAGGGACATACAGACTTTACGATATTGAAGGTAGAAAGGAACTAATCCTTGATTACAATGCCACAGGTTTACGGTGTCACGCGTAACAGCTCGACATGGCTGACCACGCATTTTTCTGTCGACACAACCCAATTTGCCTACAGGATGGCAAGCCACTACGAGACTCCAGGACTACGATCCCACCGCTTCGAACAAGCGAGAGCAAGACTCAGCGACGGCTTGGTTGGCCTAGTGGTTCCGCGTGCTCAAGGGAGTGGGTGTGACTCTCGCAGTGCGGCAACACAAAACACCAGTGAAGAGACAGCACCAAGGTCACTATCGCTTGCGGAAGAGTGGCATCTGACATTACACGGTTCGATAAACCGTCATTCTATGCTACCTGCATCGGACCCTTTTGCGGAGTCAATGAGTCCGAGCACCGAGCAAGAGAAGGTCAAGTACAAGCAAAAGTGCATGAAGTCGGAGATTCGTCGAGAACAATGCCGGGCAAACCAAGCTCGGTACCGAAACAAGCAACGTAGCCTTCAGATGAACCTGGAATCAAGCGTGGAAGAGCTGCATCAAGAACTCTGTCGATTGAAGCGTAGACGACAGGATATTGTGCTTGCGGAGAAAACGGACCAAAACCCGTGGACCATCGTGGCTGAAGTATTCCACATCCTCCAAAATAGTTTTCGCAGCCCTTGGAAGCTAGAAAATGACGAGGACATGCAAAACGACGTTGAAACGCGCAAAACTCTAGAATTTCTACAGAATATTTTTACGTCTGATGCGGCGATGG